AGAGGAAGAAAAGGGGAGGGAGAGAGAGAGAGAGAGAGAGAGAGAGAGAGAGAGAGAGAGAGAGAAGGTCAGCCTTGGGCTTGCTGGTAGAACACTTAGGAAAGGTGGGGAACAGACGTCTGACAGACAGACTGACAGACACACACACACACAGACTAAAGAATGGGAACATTCTTCACCTTACCACATCCGGGCCTCTCTTGGCCTGGCTCCTGGTCATACTCACAAAGGTGACTTGGAAGGCATGAGGAGACCAGGGCTTCACTCACCTGCAGACACTTGACTTTCTGGACATGGTTGTGCTGGGAGAAGAGGGTGGCGTCTGATACGACCAACTGTAGTCGGAGCCCTTCAAGTCCAAAATCACCTGAAGGGACAGAGGAGAAGGGCTTCATGCACACGTCTCCACACTCGGGATGAAACGGAAATGCTACCCTCATGGGGGCAGAACTGACAGAGAATGCATGTCTTAACCGAAGATCCATACTACCTCTCCTGCAACGTCCCAGTCCTTCTGACACAAGCAAAAAGCCAGAGTTAACGGGGAGGAGGAGTGAAACAGGAAACCCAGGAAATACCAGGAGGAAAAGAAAATCTCAGCGATGGAGCAACAACTCTAACAGCTATTCTTTTTTATTTTATTTTATTTTATTTTGGTTTTTCGAGATAGGGTTTCTCTGTGTAGCTTTGGAGCCTATCCTGGCACTCGCTCTGGAGACCAGGCTGGCCTCGAACTCACAGAGATCCACCTGCCTGTGCCTCTCCAGCGCTGGGATTAAAGGTGTTCGCCACCAACGCCCGGCCTCTAACAGCTATTCTTAGCCCAGGCTACAATTGTCAGCACCGCACCCCACAGCCCATAAACACAACAATGGCTTAGGGCTTGTTGGCCATGCTTCACCTACTTCACGCTCACGAGTCACTTGTGCCCTACTTGGCCAGGGATACGAGCATGGAAACCTCACAGAACCGAGAGGAAGCCGATCCTATCACAATGGCTTCTGTGCGTCCTCCTTGTGACAAAGAGCGTCTACCGCCTTTAAGAGACACTCTACTGACGCCTACTCACGGGGTCAACACGTACTCTAGCATAACAGAAAAATCTCACAGACGGAAAACCAGAAGGCTTCCAAAGTTATCTTTCGGAGCTGACTGTCCAAGCAGACAGCTCAGGGCTCAAAACAGAGTATGAGCCATCATTTGCCCCCGACCCCCCCACACGCCTCTTCCTGCTTGATACAGTATTGATGTCACACTTGCAGACATGTCATCTCTTCCCCAGATGGGAAAGGTTCCAGGAGTGACTTGTCTAGCTCCAGAGAGGACTGCAAACATGACAACAGAGCCATCTGACCCAGGCTCCTAGGATAGCTCATGCCTGCAGAGTGGCTGAGCACAGGGTCTGGTCATCAAGTGACTCCACTCAAACCTCAGTCTCATCACTCATCAGAGCGGAGGCGTGGCTCCGTGCCTTCATCTCTCAGTACCTACGAATCCTCCCTACAAAACAGGTGTGAGGGTGAAGACGGTTCACACGAAGGATGTACACACAGCGTAACGCAGACCAGATCCCTGAATTCTGATTCTGATTTGTCCCTCACAGTTCCTACCTGTTCACTGGAGGAGGGCAGTTTGTGAGGGTCCATGGTGAGGCTCTTCAGGTCTTCCGATATGGTCTGAAGGTGGGTAATTTCCCCCAGCATGGAGATCTCTTCCTCCTAAAGGGAAGCAATTTTGTGCACATCATTGATTGGCTTCCCTCATTGTCTTGTTCCAACCACTTCTGTCTGGGTCAAGGTTTGACCTTTTCAACCTTCCATGAGATAGGAATCTAAGCTGGAGGTGACAGGTACATCTTCTTTTGGGAAAGAGAAAAGCAGTCAGAGTGTCCTGTGTGCTGGGGACACTGAAGGGACTCAGCAACCTCACTGAGGTAGGCATTTCCAGGCCTACTGAGTCACATGGTATACACCCCTGTGTTTTCAGGGGACCCTTCCATGGGCTTAGGTAGCCTTGATGACTGACATGATTATGGCTATTTGGGTCCAGATCTTTAGGACAGCACAAACGTTCGAGAGCACTAACTGCCCCCCTTTCTTGCCCCCTCCCCCATCTTAAAAACTGGCAAGTGCAATAAAGCAAGGACTGCAAACATTTCAGTCACTTTCCCAAGTGCCAGCAGGAAGTGTGGTCCAGGCGCAGATCGGGGGACACCTCACATCTGAGCATTCTGCCAGGGTGGAAAGAGGCACACCAGAGCCCTTCAGGCAGCCTCCAAGAAGGGCTACTGCAAACTCGGCTGCAGGACCCACATGACTGACATCATTTAGGGTGACAGCTCACTGGTGGTGGTGGCCCTCGCCTTTAATCTCAGCACTCGGAGGCAAGTGGATCTCTGGGAGTTCCAGGCCAGTCTGGTCTACACAGCAAGGACTACAAAAAAACAAACAAACAAACAAAAAAATCTGTCTCAAAACAAAACAAAAAACAAAAAAACAGATGTGGGCTGGAGAGATGGCTCAGAGGTTAAGAGCACTGACTGTTCTTCCAGAGGTCCTGAGTTCAATGCCCAGCAACCACATGGTGGCTCACAACCATCCGTTATGAGATCTGGTGCCCTCTTCTGGTGTGCAGATATACATGGAAG